GCGCCCCCGCGCCGGCCCCCGCGCCCCCGCCTGCGCCGCGGCGGCGCTCGGGCTCGGCTGCCTCCTCCTGCTGCTGCCGCTCGCGCCCGGGCACGCGTGCCCCGCGGGCTGCGCCTGCACCGACCCGCACACCGTGGACTGCCGCGACCGCGGGCTGCCCAGCGTGCCCGACCCCTTTCCCCTGGACGTGCGCAAGCTGCTGGTGGCCGGCAACCGCATCCAGCAGATCCCCGAGGACTTCTTCATCTTCTACGGCGACCTGGTGTACCTGGACTTCAGGAACAACTCCCTGCGCTCGCTGGAGGAGGGCACGTTCAGCGGCTCGGCCAAGCTCGCGTTCCTCGACCTCAGCTACAACAACCTGACCCAGCTGGGCGCCGGCGCCTTCCGCTCGGCGGGGAGGCTGGTCAAGCTGAGCCTGGCCAACAACAACCTGGCGGGCGTGCACGAGGCCGCCTTCGAGACCCTCGAGTCGCTGCAGGTGCTGGAGCTCAACGACAACAACCTGCGCAGCCTCAGCGTGGCCGCCCTGGCCGCGCTGCCCGCGCTGCGCACCCTGCGTCTGGACGGGAACCCCTGGCTCTGCGACTGCGACTTCGCCCACCTCTTCTCCTGGATCCAGGAGAACGCGTCCAAACTGCCCAAGGGTGAGCCGGCGGCGGGGCTGGGGGGAGGGAGCAGGGACAGGCCACCGCCGTCCTGAGTCTGGGCGTGAGGGGCCCTGGCCAGCCCCTGGGGTGGAGGGCGGGGCTCAGGTTGAGTTGGGAAGAGGAGGCTTCGGGGCTCGACCAAGTGCCCTAGGGGAGAGTTGCCCCAGGTAATCCTACAAGGTTCCCAGCCTGAACTTTTTCTGGGTCTCTGCTGGAGAAGACACATCTGAAATTCTCTGGAGTTTCCGGGCCCTGAGGACTGTAGTTTTCCCCTGTTTCTCCAATAACTCACTTTTCCAAGTTAGGGACCTTTCAGTTCTTGGGAGTGACCAGGATGATCTCACTGGGCTTTGAATCCTAGGACTGGTGGCTGCGGGTTACTGATAGGTCCCTCCTAAGCCGAGGGCGCCCCACAGTGTGGGAACGGCCCCATTCTCAGTGCTGTGGACCGACAGAGCCAGCCGATTGTCAGGGCTCCTGGGCAGCATCTGGGGCCTGAGCTGGCCTCTCAGCTTCTCAGATCCGGTTTGTTCTTCTGTCCAAAAGGGGAGGAATATTCCTGGGAGGGGTAGTGGCAGCCCGCTAAGATCCAGTGATGCAGTAATGATTAATAGTTCTGGGGCTTCCAGCCCAGATGTGAAAAAGCTGAACAAAAATGTTGTGGCTGGTGCCCCCTTTTTTTCCCTGGTGTACACTTCCAGGGGTGGCGTGGACATACATACCCACTGGTGGACAAGAACACAGGGTGCGGGGAGTTAGGGGGCCCTGTGGAGGCCAGCAGGAAGGAAGCAAAGGCCGAGCTGAGAGGGAGGGGACGGCAGCATCCGTAGGGAGGAAGCGCCTGGCCGGGGCCGGTGGGTGCCCTTCCCCTCAGTGGCCTTCCACTGTGAGCCTGTGAGCCTGTGAGCGCCAGTGCCTGCAGTGGTCTCTCAGAGCTGGACCCCGCCTCCCACTTTGCTGCCCAGGCTGTGGCAGAGTTGGAACCAGAGCTGTAGAGCACAAATGAAAGGTTATGTACCTGCAGGTTTAGCTTCAGAGTATCTCCCTCCATTAACTGAGAAGCCAGGGTTGCTGCTCATCTATGTGCCAAATTCCTGTGGTCCCTTCCTCACTGTTATACGTACATACTCCACACGGGCGGTGGTCACTCCTCAGCAGATGCAGGACCCTGAGCTGGCACTTTCAGCCCAGGCTGGCTCTACCACGGGAGCAGTTCCTAAAGAGATCCGGCCTGCAAGGTGCAGAGTTCCCCAGCTTTAAACTTTGCCCTCACTCACTTGCCTGGCTCCCCAGACCTCCCCACCAGAATCTGTCCCGGATTCAGGAGCGCCTGGATGAAGACCTCACTGAGGGATGGGCATACGCCCTGGTTCTGGTTGTTCCTGCCTTTGCTTTTTGGCGAGGTTGGCATCAGTCACCCCCTTTGCTGGTGGGGTTGGTGTAATTGGCTTCCGCTGCTTTCCGGATGAAGGAGTGGTGTCAGGAACAGGAACTGCGGGTTCCAGTCTCAGTTCTGTTATGGTGGCTGTGACCTTGAACAGGCCCCTTATCCTGTCTGGCCCTCGGTTTCTTCGTCTCTAGATTTGACTATAGATTTGAGTTGGCCTCTGAGATCTCCACAGAGCCCTGCATGTGGAGTCTGAGCCCTGGATATGGAGTCTGAGACGTGTGTTTGAATCCTGGCTTAAAATCCAGGGGACTCTGGGTAGGTCACTTCACTTTTTGGAGTTGCACCTTCCCCATATGTGCAATCGGGACGCAGGTGATGCTGCCTCGTCCGTCTGACCGGGTGGCTGTCAGGGTCAAGACCAGGCGATGTGGCTGAAAGTAACAAGCAGTATGAATGTAGCGTGTTTCTCCTCCTCCTGTCCATGGTATCGGGAAGAAAACGGACACCAGCTGGGGGGCAGATGGACAGGTTCTGAGCAAGGAGCAGTGTCCAGGGCCCTGGGGACAAGGCGGGTACAGGAGGAGGTTGTTCTCATCCAGCAGGGAGAGGATGGAGGCAGCTTGAGGGCGGCCTGAAGGCTTCTGGCACCTCCCAAGGTGTGGTGCCAAGAGCAGCTCTGGGCTCATGCAGCTGCCTGTGCTGTGTGGCCAGAGCAGTGTCCCCCAGACCGTGCACCAGAGGGAGGGTGGGCAGTGCAGGAGCTGGCACAGACCTTGAAATGAGAGATTCAGATCTAGATTCAGATTTCTGATCCTGGGCAAGTCTCTGACCTCTCAGAGCCTCAGTTTCCCTGCCTCTGCATCCACAATGTAGTAATGGCATCCTCTACCGTGTTTGCTGTGAGTTTTAGGTGAGATCAACTCTGTAAAGGATGCAGTGGCGCTTAGTGAAGCAGCACGTGCTCTGTAGACAGATAGATGTTAATCGCCCCCCCTTCCCTCCTCCCACATGTGAGCGGCTGCTCCTACTTCTTGCAGAGCCAGCAGGGCCGCGTGGCTACCAGCCCGGGCTCTGGCACAGCTGCTTGTCTGCACATCCTGCCTCTACTGCTTACTCGTTGCGTGACCTTTCTGTATCCCAGTCTCCTCATCTGTAAAATGGGGATGATATAGTATCCACCTCATAGGCTCGTTGGGAGGATCAAAAGGGTATAAGTTAAGAGTACTTAGAGCAGTACCTGGCACACAGGAAGTACTGTGTAAGTGTTAGTGCTATTGTTATTATCCTATGTTAACTAGAAGGCTCTGAGCAGTGATGTGTGACTTGCCCAAGATCACACGGAGCTGGGCGATGCACCAGGACCTCCTCGCTCCCGGCCCCCTGCCACACCGACCACCCACTTCCTGCCAAAGAAAGTCGGCTCCATCAGGGACCAAGCGCCAAGACTTTCTAGGCAGGTGCTCTGCCTCTTCCAGGGTGGGAATTTAAAGGAGCGAAAAGGATCCTGTCCCTGCTGCCTTTCCCTTGCCTCCCCTGCCCCCTCCTCCCCCACAGACACAGAGCTTTCTCCCTGTGACCTTGACTGGCTGTGACAGTTGCAAAAATGTGTTGTCTGCCAGTTGAGCCTCCCCTTGTGGCCACGGCACTGAAGGACGAGACACCGTTAGGCCCACTGGTGCCCTTGGTCCGGGCTCCTCCAGGGTCTGGGGGTGGGAAGATCTGGGTCTGAGGTCTGAGCAGGAGCTGCCCTGCTGGAGGCAGGAGGGCCAGGGGATGCCAGAATACCTAGCTGCCAATTAGCAAAAAGCAAAACACAACAATACAACAGACAAACAAAAAAATAATTTAAAAATATTATTCGCCATTTATCTGAAATTCCACATTAATTGGGCATCCTGTGTTTTATCTGGCAACTCACTTTGTAGCTTGCAAGTGCTGTCTCTTTTAACGCAACAGCCGTGCCTGGAAGATACCTTTACCCACAATTTACCCAGCAAGAAACAAAGGAAGTGCAAAGAGGTGAAGTGGTTTGCACAAGGTCAAGTAGCTAGTGGCTGAGATAAGCTTGACCTCAGGAGTGTCCAACCCACACCGGATTGGTAGAAAGAGAGAGTGAGACCATCCCGACTCCGCCCCTCCCCTAGTCTCTGATTCTGCTGGGTGGCAGCAGCCTGCGTCCTCCTTCCAGACCCAGACTCTGCACCTGGTCTGGTGGTTTTCCCGTGAGACAACAGGCTCCAGGCAGTTTGGGACAGTGGGTCGCCAAGGGGACAATGACGATCTCTCTTTAAGTAGACAGGGCACCAGACCTGGTAGCAGGGATCTTGGAGATCACTCAGGTGACCTGGGAGAGAATGGGGAGGGCCGCAGGCGACCAGGAGGCAGCAGCAAGGACACCCTTTTCACAGATGGGTGATCTTTCAAGCCTTTCATGTCACATTGTCACATCGTCTTCCCTTTACAGCAGCCCAGCAAAGTAGGCAGGGAATGAAGACGGAAAAACGGGGAGCATGATGGTGCCATCCGAGAGCCCCCTGCGCGAGGATCTCTGGGGGAGCTCGGTTGAAGTGCAGATTCCTGGGCCCCCAGACCTACTACTGACCAGGCCTGGGGACCTGCATTTAACAAGCCCGCACCTCCGGGGGAGTCCTGTGCGCATGAGGCTTGAGCACCGCGGCTGGAGCGGGAAGGGCTGTGGCTCAGCAACTCACGGGCTGTGTGACCGCGTACACATAGCCCGTCGTCTCGGTGCCTCGGAGTTTTCTCTTGTAAACAAAGAGTGTAGGTAGGAGGACTGTGAGGCTCCTTCCAAGTCTAAAATTCTGTGGTTTCAAGGGAGGGGAATATTGACTTGGTTTTGGAAATTGGGAATTCGCGGCCTGAGGGAGCCAGGTGTCCTCCAAAATCCCCTCTGCGGGATTTCAGGGCTGTGGTCTCTGTGCAGCAGGGAGGGGCAGAGCCTCTGGCAAACTGGCACTCTGGGATCCTGGTCCCGAGATGCTGGGCAGTGTGGAAGGATGTCCACATGCTGTCCCCAGCCTTGCTCCTGGGGCCGTGGGAAGAAAAGGCCACTGGGTTTGGGAAACCGAGGCCAGCAGGCACAGGGCTCTCTCTGTGCGTGGCTCTGGAGGAGCACGGAGCAGGTGACACAGCCCATGCCGTGACCAAGAGTGCATTACAGGAGAGGCACGTGCAGGCGTTGGGGGATGCTGCATTCGCCAGGCATCCTCCTGCACCTCCCTCTCTTGCCACAGCCACCTGTGGCCTGCGGGTCACTGCCCAGGGTACTAGGGAAGGGATGCGAGCTGATTCTCTTGCTCTGCAACCTTGACACATGGAGGTATAAGGAGGGAGGGTTGGGAGGATGGATGGACTGAGGCGGAATTAAACAGGACCACATGTCAGACCTTGGGTCTGCGAACCCTGGTCCCTGGGTGGGGATAGCTTCCCAGAGAAGATCCACTAAATCGTCTGACGTGTCCAAGCATTCAGAGGCTCAGATCCCTGGTGGGGCAGACCCTGTGGGAAGCGTCCTCTCCAGGAAGGGGCGCCATGGCAGGCAGGTGCTCCCAAAGCCCCATCACCAACCCCACCTGCTTACCAGGCC